CCCCCCTCTGTCCCCAGTCTTTCAGCAGGATTATGGGTCTCTCCTGGGGACGGAAATCGGCTGCTCCTCCAGTCTCTTCACCAGCCAGGCAGGACAGATGCAAGGTAGGTGGAGAAAGAAAGATAGAGAGAAAAAGAGTAAAAGAGTAAACTCAAGTAAAGCAGATGTAGGATGGTTCAGGTTCAGGAACAATGATGAGAAAAAAACTGGTAGAGAAGAAGGAAAGAAGAGGAGGAGACTGTAAGGGAACTTTAGTATGATAACGGATGAGCGGGCACATAATATGAGGACAAGATGCACATTATGAGACACTGAAAGCTTTAAGATTGATGGCAGGAGAATGGAGAGGCTGTGACACAGAGGAGAGGCAGGGAAGGATGAGAGTAGAGGTGACAAATGAAAGAAGGGGAGTTTTTTTAAAAAGAGGCAAAAGGGGAGAGAGGGCATCTGAAGTCTTGACTGAGACTAAATAGTTTGTCAGACCGGCTTAATGCCTCACTTCCCCAAAGAGCCTCCCGAGATTACCTGGACTGTGGACAGACATAACCTGTCAACACACAGCTGGGCTGATTGATGGAAGTGACAGAGACAGGTATGTGTGTGTTTGTGTGTGTGGAGGTAGGTTTTTTTTCCTGTGCGTATTCAGGTGTGTGGGTGTGGGTTTCTGTGTGTCTTTGGGGTTACAGTATTGAATTGACCTCTTCCCTGAGGAGAGAATAGACTCAAGGGATCAGCGGTAGTAGAGCTGTACTCAGTGTGTCAGCTTAGACTGTCACTTAGATAGTGTGTGTGGGTGTGTGTGTGTGTGTGTGTGTGTAAGAGAGAGAGAGAAAAAGAGCGAAGGTGGGAGATGAAGAGAAGAGTGTCAGAAAGTAGACTGAGTTTGTTTTATTGGTTGTACACGACAAGGAGACAAATTTTTTTCTGTCATTAGCTTCATCAGCTCACACCATCTCACCCCTGCCTTTCACTACTCATATTGAAAGTAAAATATAATCTGAACAGAAAAGAAGCTGTTAATTCCACATTTTCACTGCATTTTATTCACTGCAAGATTATTCTGATTTATTACAACTTGGGTCTTATTTTTCGTCATTTTAACCAACATTCCTATCATACCTAGTTAATAGCTCACATCTGTGAACGTGACGTCCAATGAAGTACAGAAAGTGCAGTTTGCTGTGCAATAAGTAGATAAAAAGACACTAAATAAATGCTCCCAAAAAGAGGATTTATTAATTTACAGCATTTCAACATTTCGTCTTCATCTGCTAATGGTTGGATCATTACCTACATTACTGGTTTTAACTATTTTCAAATAGTGGTTTGAAGCTGATATAATCATTATTTCTATATGAACAAATTAATATGTGCATGTAAAAGAAGTTACTCTAACTGACAGCCACAGAGAATTCGACTTTGCAGTTGCCCTTTGTTTTTCAGGCCTACCACTTTACTATTTGTATTTACTCTCACCACCTCATTTCCTCATTTCCAAGCTGCTGTTTTTAATTTAGGTTCAGATAAACCCACTATATGTTACCTTCTCAGAACCAAACAGCAGACTGGCAGAAGTTAGCGACTAGCTGGTAAACATAGCAGAGCATGTAGCAGCTAAAGAGCCAGATATTTCCCTCAGGAGTTGGTGGACCTCAAAACTGAGCTAGACTTATCAGGTGGCCAGAAAAACGACTCCAAATGAATGCTAATGTTGCTCTGTATCTACTAGATTTGTAGGCAATAGGCAACTCTTTGCTAACATAAGTGTGTTAGATGAACTTTATAAGGTGAGAATATGTCATGGTGTTTACATCTTTTTGTACTGCCCACTAGTGGCCAGTGGTCTAGTGAGCACAATGGTATCATAACCAATGGAAATTAGGCCAAAACTACAACAATAAGACTCAAGTTGAAGTAAACCAGACTTATCTTTCAGCAAAATTAATTTTTAAATTCTCATTTAAAAGAATTGAATTAAGCATTTATTTCTGTGTATCTTCCCAGGGTCACCGTACTATTACAGTGCAACATCACGGGGGACGGGCCCTGCTGCCACTGCGACAGCCTCTGCCTACGACCGCCACTGACCCCACTGAGAGGAGAGGAGGATGAGGAGAAGGAGATGAGGGAGGGAGGGACGGATAGCACCAGCACCACTCAATACAAACCTGCCTACGCATGGACGACAATGGGGATGAAGATTTCAAATTTTTGACGTCAGTGAAGTTTGAATTTTCTTTGATTGCCAACAAACGCACTGCTGGGCTGCAACACAGACAAACTGTATGGGTTTTACATTACTGTGAGGACACAGGCATGGCAGTGTCAATAACTGACATATTCAGAAGATTTCGTAAGCAAGTACAAAATTGGACCCTCCCATAACATCTGAAGGCTTGGTATCTCTAACTTGTTTTTAAATCTACAGTAAGTCAGTGGAGCAGTGATTGAAACTGTATTGTGATCTTCTGGGTAAAATGTTGTGTTTTCAGGTTGGGAATATTTTTGATGAAGTTATTTGAGTTGATTAGAGCAAAATCACTTTTTCAAACCGTCCTTTTATGCCCCGACATCAATCAATCAATTTTCTATGCCATGCTACGGTGAAGTAAAGACAATCCAATTATCATAACTTTAAATGACCAAAATCACCCCTATCATTACCATTCCAGAGTCTCGTGCTGTAGATTCAACGCATTTCCCCTGGGATCACAATGCTCAATAAATGGGATACACTACTTTTCAATGGGAGTGTTCAGTTTTAAATTTGACCGTTCGCTAAGCCCCACCACCATTAGTTACTGTCGCTATGCCTGTCAAGCTTTCCGTTCTCACTAGCACATATGCAGTTAACAATGGTAACAGTGGCAGATTTACCAACTCTAGTGATTTTTGAAAAAATGGATCCTTGATTTCAAATAGAAGTAGACAAAAGCAGCTTCTCATTTCTATCAGGCAACCATCAATTTTGCTGAAATATCAACTGTTGCTGACAGATTTGATCAGCTGTAGCTATCATAACATGTTTGTATTTTCATAAGCTTAAACAGTTGGTTAATGATGTGCTCTTGGACTTGGAAGTAACACTTGGTTACTAATTTGCCAGACATGCTAATGTTTGTAGCATTTGTTAAAGCAAATAAACACATACGGTCAGTTTAACTAATAAAAAACTAAGGTGGTTTTCA